TCGGTCGGCATTTTGTGACCTTCTTTAAGGTAGATCTGGTTGTCTTTCAGCATGTAGTAAAAAAATCTGCTCCGTATTTGCAATGTCGAAGGAGTAAGAAACCTTCAGATTTACCTCATTCCGTCGAGGCGGGTTAAGAGCCGGTCATGTATATGTCTTGCCCTGCAAAATTTCAGCCAAGAATGTCTCATCTTGCTCCTCATCGACCTTGACAGTCCATTCTTGGGCAAACACGCAATGATTTTCACTCCGAAACTTCTGATTTTGGGCCGTTTCAGCTTCTTTCAAGGGTTGTTCGGCTTTCACAGCTTTTGACATCGGCTGCAGAAAGTCGTGACACTCCTGGAGAGCCAGGCCGTCATGCAGCTAGTGCGTCATGTTATTTATTGCCACATTCACCACCTGGTCCTCTAGTACATGAACTTGACATCTAGTTTTTGCACTCCTGAATTGTTTCAAGAACTGTTCGACCGAATCCTTGCTTTTCCGATCGTCATATATCCTATGAATCGTATCTTTGATTACCTGTGGATTTATGATGGGATTTGACATCGGCACCATCTCTGCCTGCCCCCAGGCTGTCCGAAAGCTGCCTAAACAGACGGAAAATTTTGTAACGCCGGCTGTGGGAAGGCTTGATAAGTAGGTCCCCGTTGTGGGAAACATACTCGGGGGCCTTCCATAGGTTCTCTAAGGACTGAAACCTGTTGCAATGGTGTATTTTCCGGGGCTGGTTGGGCAGAATATTCGTAGGTTTGTTGCAGCCCGGAATCAGCAGCAAATCAACCTTCCCCAGCAGCTCTCTGCCCTCCATTGTATCGGAATGGTATTGGGACTGGTCCCCCTAGTTCCCAAGTCATTCCAGAAGGCTTTGGGATAAAGGAAGGTGGTGGAATCCCTATCAGCCCTGCCCCCCATGTATTGGAAGTCTCTTGTCCAGCCGTTGGGTTTCTTTGAAGGCCTATAGTGAGGACTAAGGTGCTGAAAGTATTTCCAGAAAATAGGGGATTATTTTGCCCATATGGTGTTGATGGGACTGAACCGAAGGTCATCCCAAATTCGTCGTTTGAAGGCAGCACAAAAGAAGCTTGCCCCGCCGACGTCCGAGATTCTCCGACCTTCTGGATGGTGATCGGAGGTCCTCCAGGTATCCCTACCTAACAGAGTAACATGGTCATACTTAAGTGCGTGGGAGGTTGGATCTGCTGCGAAGCTGGTTGTAAAGCCTGTGGGAGGCCAAATATATGGTTGGCTAGAATCAACCTTCCGAGCCTTGTTTTTTCGAGTTTCTTCCTCCAAAAGCATCGCAAACTCTTTCTGAATGGCGGGTTTCAGAAAGTCGGTAATGTACCGAGATAGATCCAAGGTGGATATGTGAATGGATAACCAAATTTCCTCACGAATCTGCTCCTGAAAGACGCTGGCTGGAAGATTAATGATCTGGTCCGGTCTACCAGCAGTCGCGGAAGCCTCGTCGCATGGGGCAGCTTACTACGTAGAGCGCGATGATGAACCGCCGACGATTTCTTTGTTTTTAAACATCTCTGCAGTTGTCGACGGCATCAGTTATCTTCCGAAATTGCATGCTCAAGTCTTGAGATGTTGGTGATCGGAGGACCTCCAAGTATCCCTACCTAACAGAGTAACATGGTCATACTTAAGTGCCTGGGAGGTCGGATCTGCTGCGAAGCTGGTTGTAAAGCCTGTGGGAGGCCAAATATATGGTTGGCTAGAATCAACCTTCCGAGCCTTGCTTTTTCGAGTTTCTTCCTCCAAAAGCATCGCAAACTCTTTATGAATGGCGGGTTTCAGAAAGTCGGTAATGTACCGAGATAGATCCAGGGTGGATCTGTGAATGGATAACCGAATTTCCTCACGAATCTGCTCCTGAAGGACGCTGGCTGGAAGATTAATGATCTGGTCCGGTCTTCCAGCAGCCGCGGAAGCCTCATCGCGTGGGGCAGCTTGCTACGTAGAGCGTGATGACGAATCGCCGACGATTTCTTTGTTTTTAAACATCTCTGCAGTCGTCAACATTATCAGTTATCTTCCGAAATTGCATGCTCAAGTCTTGAGATGTTGGTGTCCCACTAGGCGTGCCAATCTGTTGTCGTAAAAAAATCACCACCGACGGCTTAATTGGAAAAAGATCCGGCCTCCTCAAGAAAGGATCCGGGCTATCTCGCGATAACAAAAAAACTGACGAAGAAAGAAGAAGATAAGACAAGAATCGACGCTGAAAATTAAATTTAAATTAACGAAAGAAAACTGTATGAATCTGGAAAGAAAAAAATACAGGAATAGAAAAAAATTGCAGTGAAAATTAATGCAGAAGATGATAAATGAATATGGCGATTTTTTTTTTTTTTTTGCTATCTTGGATCTTCTTTAAATAGTTAATTTTGAATCTTGTTTGGATAAAGTCTTATCTCTAAATTTCCTACAACAACCTCTTTATCCCAACAAGTTCACTATCTCAGTTGACCTTCCCCACAAGCACTTCCTAAACAGGGCTCCTTGAGTCATTGGGCTGGACAACCCTGTAAGTCCGCTCGTTGATTTAGATCTTCTGCTGGGCTACGAACTTCTTTAGACTTGGGCTGCACTTGCACTGGACCAACCCAATTAATTTGGGGTGTGTACAATACTTAAGAAAACTGAATTCCAAATCAGGCCCGGCCACGGCCATAGGGGCCCTTGCCCGAGCCCATTCTCTCTACAGAGCCCATAGGAGCCCCTATAATATATATACTCTTATATGCTAATATATAAATATATATTGGGTATAATTTTTTACCAAAATTTTAATATATTTTTTCAAAAAATTTAATATAATACACACTCATTATTTTTATATTATTTATATAATTTCTTATACTTTACGTCAAATAAACTTCCTTCAAACTAAAACACAAAAGAAAACACTCTAAATAAACATTTTTGTTTGAAAACTTTCTTTTAAAGATTTTGAGTATTTATAAAATAAATTTCCTTAAAAAAATATTGAAACAACTTTTTTTTAAAATTTTTATTTTATACTTAAGAAATATCACATTAATTTTATATTTATATTTTAATCTTTTAATATATAAAAAATTTAATTTAATTTTTACATTTACATTAAAAAATATATAAAATTACTTTTATTATACTAATATAAAATAATATATTTAGTAGCTCACTAATTCAATTTTGTCTCCGGCCTTTGGAAAAAAAAAAAAAGGGTAAGGAACTGGCCTGTTTCAAGCACCTTCTAACTCCCAAGACGGAGGGCAAGAAGAGAATTTTCTAACCGTTGATTTCGTACTCCTTCCATCTTCACCGTAAATCTAAAACTGCGTGCTGCGTTGGCGTTTCTGCCATCGCCATCGGTTGCCGACTCACTGGCGCCTCACGGCGCTTATTTGCACGCGCTCTAATCAATAGCCTTCATTATAAGCACACGCCTAAATAACAAAATTATTAAATTTATATTTAATTTAATTTAAGGGCAAATATATAATTAAACAAATCTACCATAATCCATATTAATGACGTAGGCGTACCTCACCTAGAATAAGAGTGGGGCCCACAATAATTAATTGGATGATTCACAGTATTTATTTAAACCGTAACACGTTTATTTGTTAATTTAAAATGTGAATTGATTTGAAGGTTGCGGTACATATAGGGTTTGTTTGGTCTTGGTTTCAAATATGAAATTAGATAATAATTTAAATTTTTATTTAAATATTATTTTAATATTAAAAATATTTTTTTATTGTAAAATATAAAAAATAGCATTAATTCAGAGTTTAAATAATAAAAAAAACTCTATAATAAAATAGAAAAGAAATGAAGATATATAATTACATGAAAAGAGACAAAACCAACCTTGATTCTTCCGTTTGTTTTGGAAATATATAATTTAATTGAACAATATAATATAAAAATAATATAATATAAAAATGAGACAATATGATTATGAATGAATGGAGTAAAATAAAAAAGAAATTATAAAAGTCATTTTTTTTTGCTGATTTAAATTTTTTTATTTGAAAATTGATATTTTATAAGATAAACTAATTTGTTTTTATAAAAAGATCATAAAAATTGAATAATAAAAAGAAAATATCTAATGAAAACATTTTGCAATTTTTATTTCTTCTTATTTTTCTTCACATAACAAATATTTATATTTCAATTTGATTTTTTGATATAATACCTTTTAAGATTGTGTTTCTTGGTGGAATTTTAGAATTTCTACTATTTGTTGTTTTCATTTAAATTTTTCTTTAAATATCAAATCAAAATTATATGTTTTTATAATATATTACAAATTAATTTTTATTTTTAAAATATAACATCAGTATATATTCATATCGAATTAAATAAATATTTCAATATAAAATTTTATAATTCATATTTCAAAAGTATGATTGTGTTTATTTGGAATATTTTGAAAATTTTTACGTATTTTTTTTCATTTCAACTTAAAATATTATTTTTTCACTCAAAAGTATCTTTTTAAAAAATAATTATATTAATATTAAAATATTTTTAACTTTTACTTACAATTACAAACATATCATTATAATACATAAAGTTAAAAATATCAAAATTTACTAATTAGTAAAATATTATTATTTTATAATTTTTTTCACATTATAAAATAATTATTCTTATATTATAGTAAGAAAAAAGAAATTGAACTCAAAACATCACATAATTTGAAAATAAATACTTAGTCTAATGACAAAGTCCTCCATCCTTCGACCATAGCTTCAGCTAATTTTTAGCAAAAATAAAATAAAATAAAATAAAATCAGATAATTTGTTTATACTACTACTCCTACAATTTTAATTTAAATTTTTTTATTACTATAAATTCTGACGCGTGAAGCGCACGGCAGAGTGGCAGAGCGTGAGCGGCAAATATACGCAGAGAAACTGCTTTTCTGGCGTCCGTATAGCGAAACGGCACAAAACTCCCGCGTCCATGCAAATTACCCATACAAACAACCAACGCACTCTCGCTCTCCTCTCTCCCTCTCTCATACCCCAAATTTTCATCCATATTCGTCTACAGAAAAATCAAAGCGCCCCTGTAATCTCCTTTTTCGCATTTTCACAATCGGATTGCTCTGCATTCAATTCTGGGAATTTGATCGCGATACTAATTAATTGCGCGTCGCTGGAAATACTCAGGGCCGGAATTTGTTGTTGTTCTTTTGGTTGCGGTTATCTGTGCAGCAGGTAGAATTGATGGCCGGGGAAGCGGATGCATCGTCGGCGCCGACTGTGTTGGCGTCTCTGTATGTTGGGGATTTGGCGATGGATGTGACGGATGATGTGCTGTACGAGGCATTCTCGGAATTCAAGAGCCTCGCGTCCGTTCGTGTCTGCCAGGACTCCTCCACCGGGCGGTCTCTTGGTTATGGATATGTCAACTTCGTTTCGCCTGATGACGGTAGTGTTTTTTTGTTTGTCTGCATTGTGGGATAACTTGGCCTTATCCGATTCTCTGTGTGGGTGGATAGATGGATGTGAGTGAATAGGTGTTGGGTGTGTTGAAGTGAATCCCAATCGATGCTGATACATCTGATCGTTTTCTTTATTTTATTTATTTTTTTCTGGGGAGATTTGAGATTTTCCTTCTTTTTTGTTTTCCCCTTAGGAGTTTGGATTGGGTTTGGTTGATTGGTCCCATCGAGATGTTTTTTTTTTTGGCAAAATACTAGGATCGATTATATATTTTTTGAGGGATTAACATGAAATCAGTGTTGTTCATAGTAATTATTATCTTGAAGAAGTGATCACAGGCACAAGATGACTCGACCCTGTTGCTGCTGTTGTGCATGATTTTTAATTGGAAATCTTCGTGTGAAATATGACAATGACTTGTGTGAATTTCTTTTTATTGTTGTGTTCTTGAATGACCCAATTTCTAATTTAGTAGTGATTGCAGCCTGTGTCAAGGATCCAGGGTAATGGATTTTGAACGGATATAGATATCTGGATCTAATCAGAAACAGGATGCAAAGGCTTTCTTGAACATACTTAATTTTGTGATATGATGTTATAAAGAGGAAGGAATATAGTGATTCATGCTTTATAGAACCTTCAAGATGCGCTCTTCTCTAAATCGTGACATTTCATAATTCATACTAAGTGGACTCCTCTAGTCTTCTGTGAAATTTTATAGATTGGTTAGCAATTTGTGTTTTCTATCTGAAAAGTTTGTTAGCTATACTGATGAGTACTCATGAGTGGTCTTCTTTTCATTTGTAGCCTTTTAACATATTCTTCTTATGCATTGGGCAGCTACTCGTGCTATTGAGGAGAAAAACCATTCGAAATTGAATGATAGACTGATAAGGGTCATGTGGTCACATCGGGATCCAGATGCAAGAAACAGCGGAATAGGAAATGTTTTTGTCAAGGTATCTTGATTTTCAAATTTGAATCAAAGTAATTGATTACTTGGAACATTTGAGTATTTTAATGGTTTGCTCTTTTTAATTCTAATTCATGGCTTCGGGCTTTTGGTGTAGAATCTGGATGAGTCCATAGATAGTGCAAAACTTCAAGATATGTTTCAGAAATTTGGCAAGATTTTATCCTGTAAAGTGGTCTCTTCTGATAATGGGAAGAGCAAAGGGTATGGCTTCATCCAGTTTGAATCTGAAGCCTCTGCTGAAGCTGCCATTGAGAAACTTAATGGCTTGATGGTTGGAGGAAAACAGATGTATGTCTTATTACGTGGTCCTGTTTACTTGTTCTTCTGTTTGTGTTTCTTACAAGATAATCTTCTGCAGACTTGCTGGTTTTGAGAATATCTTTCTTTCGCAGGTATGTTGGTAAGTTCTTGAAGAAGAGTGACCGAGCAGTTCCTGGTCGTGAAGAAAAGTATACAAATCTGTATGTCAAGAATTTAGAGACAAGTTTCTCTGAAGAGGGTCTTAGGGAGAAGTTTTCTCAATATGGCACAATTGTAAGCTTGGCCATCTCAAAAGACGAGAAAGGTGCATCCAGAGGCTTTGGATTTGTCAACTTCGAAAATCCAGAGGATGCCAAGAGAGCAGTAGAAGCCCTGCATGGATCACAATGGGGTAAATCTTTATTGCTAGAAAACTCTGCAAGACCTTAGCTATTTGATATTTTGCAATATAACATATGCATGTTACAGGCTCGAAGATTTTGTATGTTACCCGTGCACAAAAAAAATCTGAACGTGAAGAAGTATTGCGCCGCCAATTTGAGGAGAAAAGGAAAGAGCAGATTTTGAAATACCAGGTTCTATAGGAATCTCTTTTATTTGAGTATTTTTTACTATCTTTCTGGGTGTTCATGGTTCTAAGTTCATTAACTATCCATTGCAGGCTTCAAATGTTTATGTGAAGAATATTGATGATGATATCACTGATGAAGAACTGAGGGAACTTTTTAGTCGGTGTGGAACTATCACTTCTGCTAAGCTGATGCGGGATGATAGAGGAATCAGCAAGGGATTTGGATTTGTTTGCTTCTCCACACCTGAGGAGGCAAATCAAGCTGTATACACCTTCCATGGTGAGCTTATAGTTAAGCAGTTTTTCTTGTTTATTCTGTTTCCTTTTTTTCTTATCGGATTGTTTATCCTGCTTCTTAGACTGTAGGGATGTGGTGGTTCTGGGGGTTATGAGAAACAAGTATAGATAATTACTTATAGATATCTTTGTTAACGAATTTAATGCCGTGCTCTTGGATTACTTGCTGGAATTTGTGTACTGACTCATACTAAGTAGTCATGGAGTTCTGGAATATATGAGAAACAAGCACAAAGGATTATTTGGTATCTTGGCACTTATATACCTATGAATAATAATAATATTCTTCCAAAAACCACTTCCTTAGAGACTACCCCTTTAAGAATATACTGTCATTTATTTTTACCCTCATCCATACCTACTTTGCATGGTAACAGCTTCATTATCTTACATGTGTGTATTTGTTTGAAGTTTTTATTTTTTATTTTATTGGATGTATTTGTTTGAAGTTTGATAACATGGAATATTGCTTGGGGGATACGAAAAAAAATGCTAGAGAACAAGAGACTTGTGAAAGTTTTCCTAGTAATTCTATTTTCCACTCACAGTAATGCAATGGAAACCGTAGACAACAAATATTCTGAACCTCTTGATGACGAATGGTAGTGATTGTCTTACACACCCTACCTTCGTACATACATGACATGCTTACAGATTCATTTTGCGCTTCTTTAGTTTTCAGTAGATTCTCTAAAGTGCACACTGTAATTACGTGTATGAGTTGGAAGTACTTATTTGTGCCAATGTTTCAGGTTTTATACTGCATAGGAAACCGCTGTACGTGGCAATTGCCCAGAGAAAGGAGGAAAGACAAGTTAAACTACAAGCAATGTATGCACAACGTATGGCTGGATTAGCAGGACCATCAGCTATTATTCCTGGTGGATATTCCCCATTCTATTATCCTTCTCCGCCTGTTGTTTCACAACTTCCCGCACAACCTGGCCTTATGTATCAGCCTCCTGGAATTAGGCCGGGATGGAGACCTAATGGCATTGTAACTCCTGCTAGGCCTCCTGTTCAACCATTGCATGTTCCAATGGTTAGTTTATATAGTTTCAGTTTGAAGCACTAAAGTTTCTATAGTTTTGGCAAATATAGATAAGAGATAAATGCATACTCTATTAGTTTCGTCTCTGGTTGTTCATTTTGTCGTTGCATTTTACAGACAGCTAACAACAATAGACCGAACAGACAGACCAGAGGAAGGATGAACGGGAATGTTCTTCCACAGGGTCCTGGTCTTGCATATGCTGCGCCACATTCGCAGCGGATGGCCCATCCTGTGGCTTCATCCAAAGATTTCAGCAACCACAACCAGCAGCAGGTTTTTTTTGCTGTTGTATTAATCCATACCATACCCCAATCAATCAAATTCTATGGGCTTTTGAAGAGGTGTTTATGATTACAAAAATTGTGCTTTTGAAGCGTGTTGGGCATCTGCAAGAGGGCAACAATGGTCTCGCCTCCAGGGCTCAGCCTAATTTTATTGGCGCCGAGGGGCAAGAGATGTTGAGTAGCTTGCTTGCGGCTGCTCTGCCCGAGCAGCAGAAACAGATTCTTGGAGAACATCTCTACCCACTTGTTGCACATCATCAGGTTACAACTCTTGACCCGATGTTTGTTTGTTTGTGAAGCCAGCTGACTTGGTGTGTTTGCAGCCTGATCTCGCATCGAAGATAACAGGAATGATCTTGGAGATGGACAACTCGGAAATCCTAGTGTTATTGGACTCGCGGGAGTCACTGGCAGCAAAGGTGGAGGAAGCGGTGCAGGTGCTCCGGCTGTCCAAGTCTAAAGCAAGTCAAGAGAGCGGTAGCAGCAGCAGCAGCAGCAGCAGCCTTCATTCCAACTACCGTTCTTCCGAAGTTACGGTTAATTGATGAAGACAAGACAAGACAAGGTAAGTGCAGTGCAGTGATCATATCATATGAAGTTAGTAACTACTTTTTGGTGGGAACACAAACTTGACATTGCTGGTGCTGGTGCTGGTGCTGGTGCGATGGACGTGTGTGTGTGTGTGTGAGGGGGAGAGAAAGAGAAGAGAGGAGAAGAGAAGAGAAGAGAAGAGAAGAGAGAGATGGACATGAGAGACTATTACTGAGTGAAATATGAAGGAACGAGAGGATACATAACCTGCTGTCGGTCATTACTTTTCCGAATGTTATTAGATTACTACTCTTGGCAGGCAAGACAGACAAATAGTCGATTTTTCTTTTTGCAGTATGAGTTTGGGCCAAATCAATCGTTACAGATAGTGAGTGACTTGGATTCATAATAGTGAATGAAATATTTCATACAATACAAGCCAGCCATTCCAAGATATACACAGACCAAGTCCCGTAAGAGAGGAGATGGCATGGGCCTCAACATCTTCAGGTCTTGCTTGTCATGCCATACATGGTTCTCCTATTTGCAGCCGGGGTTCCCATCAAAGACCAATCTGAAGCAACACAAAGGACTTGCTCATCATCATCATCATCCAGATTTGGAGCAATCAAAGTCAAAGGCCTTTTTCATCTCTTCTCCTTTCCAAGGACAGTGCCAACATGTAAGAGGATAAACTGAACGAGGGAAGGGATAATAGAAACCAAATAGATCTATCTGTATGGAGAATTTGAAATACTTATCATGAAACATATATAGAGCTAAACTGGAACTGGATGATCATCACCAGGTATGGTTCGGATGTCAGCGGCACCATTGTAACAGTCAGTCGCATGAATATGATAATATCATTGTAAAAAGCCACATATATATATTATTATGATGTCCAAGTGGGATAAATACACAGAGGTGATGTATGTGTAGAGGAATAACAAATTAATGCAACTCTTCTCATTTCATATCTCTTAACTATACCTACACTGCATCCTGCATGCATGCACATTAGTCATCATCTTGTCTTGGGAATTATTTCTGGGATGCACGTTAATTTATAATTCATTCTAAATATATCACTGACCTATTCCACAGTAAAATAAATGAAATCTATTCTACTGATCGATCATATTCATATGCATTATCTTATCTGCCACGAATATAGTGTTTACCTTGCTTCATCATTTATTCTTCTTCTTGCAAATATAATTACTCACTGCCTCACCTATTACCCATGCCATCATCCTCCTCTTAAGAGTTCAAGTGCACGATTTCTTTTCTAATATGAGTTGTCCTTTCTCTAGTATTGTATGAATTCTTATTACCACACTCCATGCCCTAATCCCCTATCAAAGTATGGATACAAACATTCACGATCCAAACCCAAACACTGCACTCATATATCTACGCAAATTTCTAATTTCAAATGAAAATTTTATCCACTGGAGTACTGTATTTGCGACAATTATATATACATGAGAGCATTTTTTTATATATATATATATAAAATAGGTCAAAAAGAACTAATGTCCAGGTTTTACACTTGATTTTACTATTTTAATTTATTTTTTTCTCAAAAAAATATCAAATCAAACATCAAATTTTTATTTATTTTATTACACTAAAATCTAATTTTACATTCAAAATATCACATCAGCACATATTTATATCACATCAAACAGCTATTTCAATTCAAAATTTCTCTATTCAAAATCAAAACCCAAAACTAAAACCTCACAAGTAAACTCTCAAAGAAAAACTTCTAAACGTTCAATATTTTTATAAATATAGTCAATCATTTATATAATTTATAAATATTAAACATTTATTAATGTTTACATTAAAAATAGTTTCAATCATTTACATTTAATTTTGGCAAAAAAAAAAAAAAATATAAAAGAAAAACCATAATCATAATTTTAATAATTATTGCTCCACACAAATTATTTTTTCAGTTATACAATTGTTGCTCTTTAAATTGTCTACAACATCTTTATTTTATAATGACTTGTTACTCATGCAACATTGATAAACGGGTTAAATCTAAATTGTCATAAGCCACTTTCTAATGGGCCCATTTCGATCTACAAAGCCTGTAAACATAATGATCATGACTGCTTTCGTGTCCACCATCTCAACTTCTAGACTTCCTCTCGACGGTTTTGCTTAAGCGCTTACCCTATACTATTCCTTTGAAAAGATTTCAAAACTACCCACACGAATCGTACTGGCTTTCCATGACCAATGACGAAAGTGCTTCGACTTTTTCCAATAGATAGCTCGATTCCGGCCCCAAACCTTGCCGCCCCCAAACACTTAACATCCGATCTCCGCCTATTCTTCGGAAATGTAGCAGATGCTTTCAAGCCAGAAGGTAGGTTCCAATATGGACGAACTTCGCTTTCAATTTACCAATTTAGAGCGACAGAGACTCTGAGATGAAATAAAAACCACACCAACTAACGTTGATACCTTTAAGAGGTGGTATTGCCGTGTGGCACATATGGAGAAATCAAGGAATCGAGAAGGTAATCCTCTTCTCAATATGCACTTTTCATATTCACGAATAATTATTAACAACAATGGTTGTGTTCTAGGACCCACAAACAATGGGTTTCTCTGCCCCATGGGTCAATTGGACCCACTCTCATTGACGTCGGAATGCTTGTGAATTTTCCATTATTGGAGAAGATTCAATCATGGGAGCAATTCCGCCAACAAACTTTCAAAGGAGCACCTAGGGTATACTCTGAAAAAACAAAGTCATTGCATGGAAGAAATTTTTTCAAGCATACATCGGGTTGGATAACACTCGCAGAAGACACTACATTCTTTCTGTTTTGGCTTAACAGGTATATAATATGCCTCATTTTAATTGCACTTTCTTTTCCACATTGACTTAGCAATGCATATCACTTCTGAAAACTTTATTGCCATAGAAACCTTGGTTTTAGCCAACTTCTTTTGAAGGTCTTTAAAAAACTTCACGAAAATTGTTCCACATATCGAAATCTGACATTTTTTCCTAAAAGTCTTTTTGGTTCCTTAACTGTTTTTTAGGTTATATTTTTCTCGTTGCCTCTTCGGGCATCCCAAAATTATGCTCGATAGGCCTCATCTCTTTCGCCTTGCACAAATAAGCAACATAATACACCATTAGAAAACACTGTTCATGATATCCTTGCGCAAGAATGTAAGAATAGGGATTAGTATCCATATAAACGGTTGCCCCACTATGTTCACGGCCTTTTATGGACATTAGAAGAGTTTGACTACAATATACCTCATTTACATTGTTATTCTATCTATCCCTACTTATTGCTTCTCATGTGATTCGGCCTTAAAATTGTGATCCCTCTTTCTTAGTAAGAAATGTGAGCACAATAACGGAAAGTTTGAATTTAGAATAATTTACATCAATAATCAATGTCGTAATTATTATCGTAATTAATCCCCTGTCATTTTGGCCAAATGGAGACGCCTATATAAAGGGTCTCCCCCTTCATTTTAAACACACCAATAACTCTCTCCTTATTCTCTCATCTCTTCTAACTTTCCGAAAACCTCCCCAACTCGATTCCTCTCTCGCCTTGTTCGCCGAAGCTCCAACAATCAGAGGTGCAACTCTCATTGAAGACGGAAACCGTTTATCTTTGGGTTAGAACGCCAGCCACCGGAAGCACTACCGGGGCATATCTAATTTTCAGAAAGATAATCCATCATCGACTCGGTTTTTACGGTAGATATTATTCTCGCAATACCCATTTAAACTAACAATCAAACATTAGATACTACTTTATGAGAATGTCAACTCCTGCCGAAGTCGCCGCCGAAGCCACCACCGGAGCCACTGGAACCACCGCCGAAGAAGTCACCGAAGCCACCGGCGGAGCTATCGGAGTCGCTGGAGCCGCAGTCAAGGTTTTCGCTCCTCCATTTGGGCCAGTTCCCTTTATGAGTAGCCCTATGTTTTCTGGGTTTACCCTAGGGGGATGTGGGGGCTTTTCTGGGTTTGTGGCTGCACCCTCTGTTACCTTCGCGAATTATGCATCGTGGGCACATGGAGACTACATGACAAAAAATACCACATTAGGTAGTCTCTCTAACTCTCTTTATAATGTATATTGTAAAATAAATAGTGCGAAAGGGTTGTGGGGTGCCCTTGAGAAAAAATATAAGTCCGAGAATGCCGGGTCCAAAATGTTTGTTGTGGCCCGGTTTATGGACTATAAAATAGTAGATGACAAGTCCGTTGTCGAACAAGTGGAAGAATTTTAACACATTGTTCACTCTGTTATCGACGAGAAAATGCCACAGCTAGAAAAGTTCATCACGAGTGTGATGATCGAAAAATTGCCCCGAGTTGGAGCAACTTCAAGCACGGGCTGAAGCATGAGCTAAAGCAAGTGGGACTTGAAGATCTGATTGTCCGAATCCGGATAGAGGAGGACAATAGAAAGCATCACAAGGCTAAAGTCGGAGATATTGCTAAAGCCAACTTGGTCGGAGATCCCTCCAAAAAATGTGCACGCCCAACTCAAGCGGAGAAGGGCAATGCCAAACAGTCCAACTTTAGAGGTAACTATTATAACTGTGGTAAAACAGGACATCAGGTTAAGGACTACAAGGCACCTAAAAGGAAGAAGCCAAGTTCCCAACTGGTCGAGACGAGTCACCGGACTGATCGTGACCTAATTAGTGACGACCTCGTCGCTGTTGTGTACGAAACAAATAACGTGAAAAGTCCGAGAGCTTGGTATATTGACACCAGAGCAACTTGTCATATTTTCTCCGACAAAACAAACTTCTCGACCTACAAGGAGACCGAAGGGAGAAAGCTGCACATGAGAAATCACGCAACTTCTGAGGTCCAAGGCGTAGGGAACATGGTGCTGAAGATGACATCTGGCAAAGAACTAACCCTGAAGGATGTCTCATGTGTCAAACATTCAGAAAAATCTCGTATCAGGATTGTTGCTAGTTAGCCATGGTTCTAAACTTTTCTTTGTAGCAGATAAATTTATATTATCGAAAAACAAGATGTTCCTAGCTAGGGTCTTACAAATGGGTTGTTCAAATTGAATGTAATGGCCGTGCGCAAAGCACCACCTACTGATAATAAAAATGTTGCTTCTTCTTCGTACTTGATCGAGTGTTCTGATTTATGATATTGTAGATTAGGTCATATAAACCTAAATGCTATACAAAATTAGTGAATATGAATTTACTAAATAAGGTGAACACTTAAAAATAAAGGTGAAGTCTACGTGGAGGCCAAAATGCCAAAGTTACTCTTCCCGTCTGTCGAAAGGAAGATTAAGCCATTAGAGTTAATTCACACCGATCTATGTGATTTAAAATTTG